GACCATCACTAAGATTTTTAAGAAGAATACCAAATTAGACAGAGCTTTCTAATGCAATACCAAATAAATCTGATTCATTAAGTGTAGGAAAATGATGAACATTTGAAGGCCTCATTTTCAGTCTCCTTTAGCAATGAAAACGTAAATGGTTGTGACCTACCACCTCTAACACACTGATTCAGGTGATAAGGCCTGATAATTAGGGACAATCTAGACAGGATATCCAAAATTCATACCTTTAATTAGCTGAGACAATTGTTAAGCCAAACCTTTGGGTCACATGGTTTAAGAAGACCTCCACAATTGGGGGTGGGGGAGGGATAACTGTGGCAGTTAGGTGTATTTATTTTAGGGATGTTACCTAATTTGTGCAGATTAATCAATTTTTATCACATCTTTCTATATGTAAACAAGTTTTAAAAAATGTAGTTTTATGAGTAGTCAGTGAATAAAAATCTGTATGCTGTATACTGAACAAATTGTAAGGTTAGGTCAATAATGTCAGTTAAGTACCTAACAATATTTTTCAATTCATATAACTCTATTCTAGTGAAATAGTGTTTCCTGTGTTTACTCTAAAGTCTAGTGTACACTTTCCAGTATATTTCCCTGTATTTCAAATTTGAGTATGACTGCAACATGCTAAACCTGAAGCACTTTTTTTACAAAGAAAGAAATATGGCCTTCAAGAAAAAGTATGTCTTATGGTTTACCAAGGCTAAAACAGCTTCAACATGAAATTAGGGAATATAAGGAGAAGCACCACAACAGCTGCTGCCAAAACAGATGCACTTGTTGCTGACCATATAATGTATAATGTGTAGAAAACTGTAACATACAAACTTGAAAGCGTTAAATGGCTAATAATGAATGCCCTAATTTGTCAGTGCATAATTTGGAGAGAAAATAATAACTAAAAATTTTACGCCTATGGCCAGAGACTTTCGCAGGATATTGACATTCTTTTGCATCATCTTATCATACCTTGGCCGTCCCTTATTATATTATATAAATTTTACTGTTAGCAGTAGTATTAATTAGGCAAGGACGTGGCAATTAGCACTAATTACAACATATTTCCTTAAATAACAACATCGCCCTTATTAAGCTTCATAACAAAGATTACATTGAGCGTAAAATGAAAATAGCTTAAATGCGGAAAAAAAGTAATCTCGGAGTTGAACAGCTGATCGAGGGCACCAAGTAAATAAAACTCACTATTACTACCACATAAAGCATTTTCTTTTCTTTAGTTGTGACTGAAAGTTAAAGAAAAACTCACCTACTTGTCAATTCCTGCAGTTACAAGTTGAAAGTTATCAAATATTCGCTTCTATTAGTCATCCAAAGTGTGCAGATGCTTCCAGATGTGGATACACACAAAGCGATTCTTTGTTTACGGATATGACGTCAAATAATGCATGTCGGGAAGGGTTTGTTTAAAATACAATGGCGGCCTCATGGAAAGGTTCGCCTCTGTTATTAAATTTTGAAAGACGGCACAGCTATGCTAAACCAGGAGGTAAGTTTTATGAAAAAGCTTGTGGCATTGTTTTTTTTAACTTGTGTGGATATAACTTTTGAAAAAATCTACTGTGTCCATTCTTTTGTGTACTTTTATAGTTTTATTTACTGGAGGTTCATGTATGTAATTTTACTTCCTCATGATCCCGTCCTCATGGTCCTTGTCATTTTCAAAGCGACTACTCTAGTCTAGGATCGGGGGATGCCAGATTATATTAGTTTAAATTCATGGATGTTAATGTGCTGTAAAAATGTGTGATTATGAAGATATTGTGGCATATTCCATGACGTAATTGGACCCTGCGCCTATTTACAGCTGTCATAAACAATGATTGGATTGTCTGGATGATAAGGACACATAAGTTATAATTCGAGACTTTTTAAAGTGTTGAATGCCCTGTGATCTGCCTTTGAATATCCAAATAAATGTTAGAACAGCTTTTTAGCGCCCTCCCCCAGAATAAATGCTTTTTACAAACATACTTAAATTGTTACCTTGTTTATAAGGTCTTTATTAACATATGTGTGCATACATATATGAACTTACTGGTAAGTTTTTTCATTAAAAAATTCTCTCAAGGTTTATTCTATGTTCGATATTGTGTCTGCAGAAGTGATTTATCCTCTTCATTTCTTGGCAGGTCAATTTAAAGCAACTCAGATGTGGAATGAGCTGATTGAAATCTTGAGACACCGAGTTGATGTCAAACGTCGTAGACACCTGATGAAGTACTATGATGACTGTTTCACTGGGTCAGATGCTGTGGATGTGATGCTGAGACATCTTTTAGATGAAGGGCAGGCATGTGGGAAGGAAATCAGCAGGGAGAATGCTATTAAAGTATGGAATTTAAATGAACCAAATTCTTCATCAACTAGTACATCTAATATAATATATCTACTATAAAAAAAACAAGACTGTAAATTTATGCTTTTTGTTATTAGGAAAGTCGAACTCAAATCATTTTGACATCTATTAGTTTTAAGCCATTATACTGCAATGCTATTATGCTGAGGCCCTGGACATGACAGATGTTGCCTTTAAAGAGCAGGTGTTTCCATACAAAAGCAGCAGCCTTAAGTAAGGGTCAATATATTATAACCTTAAACATATATTCATACCTAAATTTTATGCCTTACAGCTGTGCCAAACTTTTATGGATAACAACATCTTTGAACCAGTATGCAGCAAAGCCAGTTCAAGTGAAGAAAAGAAGTCAATGTTTGAAGACAGCAGTAACAAGTTTTACAAGTTTATAGAGCCGCCTGACTCTGAATATGGCTTCAGTGATGAAAATATTGATGAAGTAGATACAGATATGATGGACAATCATGAAGTGAAGGAAACACTTCCAAGAAAAGATACAAAAATGAGGTAAGGAAAACTTTTGCCTTCAGATATTATCCCTTTTTATCAAAATTTTGATTTAATTTTGTTGGGCATTTTTAATTTATTCAGATAAGTAAGCCAGATGTTTTGTTCTCTTTAAATTAGGACTGTGACTTGCACAACAACTACCAAAGTACAGTGAGCAAAATTTCAAGGGTTCCTTGACAGTTTTCTGCTACTTAAAAAGTATAATTTTAATATCATATAAGTCTTCAAAATTGAAAATACCTGTTAAATGTACATTCAAAGACCACTTTTTCTTTACTTCAATTTAGACAGGAAAAAAGTTACATATACAGTACATTCCAAGCATATGCCATTCACATAATTTTAGCAGTGCTGAAGTGCAATTTGATAACTAGTAGTAATTTCATTAATAAAGGCTTTCAGAAAAGATGATAAATTGGTAGTAATTTCATTAGTAAAGGCTATCAGAACAAATTAAAAGTATTGAAAATCTCATATAATTGTTCCTTTTATTTTACTTATTATAAAACTGTTCCTTTTACTTAATTTTTAAAAGATTCAGAAACATTTCTCTTAATGATGTCAGTACCTTGTGTTATTTTTCAAGACTTAACAGCTCCCTGATAGCAGCAAATTGCTGCTTTCATAGTGAATTCAATTACTAAAGAATTAATGTAGTCCAATTGTATTAATTATTTCAAGCAGTCTATCTATGTTAATCCATGATTATGCAATGCTAATCCTGGTTCTAACACTGCCCAGCACATTCCAGGTGCATTTGCAGGTGTTTGCCACAGCAGGTAAATGGAAACACCTGTTGATAATATAAAACTGCATGCTGTGCTGTGAATATAATGAGGAAGCACAGGTGTTGTTATCTGGGTTCTTTGCACTTTGACTGTCTGCTTATAGCAAAACAGCC